GCAACTCAAAATTGTGCTCAGCAGTTTGTAATAATTGATAATTTTCATTTCCATCAAATAATGGGGCATCCTTACCTTCCTAACACATTACCCAGTCCATATTGGTATAGATATCCAGCATGATATGTTTTCCATTGAGATCTGATGTGTTTTCAAAGTGTTCCTTTAATTTTTTGGAGCAGTGCATATCTGCAAATTAAACAATCCTGATATACTGACTGCCTATCTCAAATCTTGAGTTCCTCAAATGCAAAGACAGTACAGATACCCCACAAATGAAATGACAATCCTTTTTGAAAAGTAGACTGATCACGTTATATAGTAAGAGGCATGGTGTCATTTTAACAAGGGATTTCTCACACATAGCATAGGTATACTCACAATTACACCCCAAAGCACATTATGGTATACCTCCCAAAATAGGGATACCACATGTATGAGACTTTTTCACAGCTTAGATGCATAGAGGGGCCCAAAAGTCAAGTCCTGACTTCCTGACCTATCAAATCTTCAATTTAATAAGATATTTGACCCACACAACATAAGTATATTTAGAAATACAACCTAAAACACATTCTGCTACTCCTTCCAAGTATGATACCACATGTGTGAGACATTTTCACTGTTTGAACTTATTATACTGTATAATCAGACATTATATCATGTGTATTACTCAAATCAACCAATTGTATTGAAATCAATGTACTGTAATAGTTGCCTCTGTACAAGTGGTCAGGGAATAAAGCTTAGAGTAGCGTCACCATTACAGTCCCCATTACAAGACAGTCCAGCCTACTGATATGTGGCTGCTCCCAAGAAAGCCATGTTCACTGGACAGTAAATACAGTAGGCTGAAACAAGGAAGAACAAAAGAGTTCCTGTAGTTACAGAAATGCAGTTGTCCACAGGGGATGGCTGGGAGTGGCATCTTGCAGAAATGTGTTCAATAAACAGGCCAGGGTCAGTACAGGCATCAGGCAACACTGCACTGGTTTAGCACCGATTGTTGCTGGCTTATACTGGTCTGGCAAAACTGGGAACTGTTTTGGTGACAATTAGGGACACTGTTACTGACTTACATTGGTCTGGTGACACTAGGATTGTTGTGGCAGTGATATGGAACACTGTTGCTGGCATACACTGGTCTAGTGACACTGGGACTGATGTGGCAGTGATCAGAAAAACTGTTACTGGCTGCACTTGTCTGGTGTGGTGTCAATCAGGAACATTGATTTTAGCTACAGTGGTTAGGTGACACTATGACTGGTGTGGTGGCGATCAGAGACATTGTGACATTGTGACACTATTAGAGCATGTTAGGTTGGGGGTGGTAAAACCTTGTGAAAAAGGGTTTGTTTTTGTTTGATTTTGTGATTGCTTACAATGTCATGATGACAGCTGTAGGTAATTCATTTGCTAACACCATTCATTCAAAAACTGTCTTTAATTACTTTAAAATTCTGGATAATGCTGTAGACGTTGGGTCATTTAGTGACACAGTTACCCTGCAATTTTTTTTTGGCCACCTTCCCTGCAATGGGCCTTGTTCTGTATGGTGACCACGTGACTATGGACATTTATTATCTCAGGTATGGACAGCACATGTTTCCTTTGCACCAGTCTTCTGCTAGGGAGAGTGTATTGACTTTACCACACTCGCCAATCTACTTTAATCAGTATAGCACAGCCAATTGTATGCCAGTCAATTGTACATGTATGGAAAAGCTGTAGTGAATGATATGTTCATGTTCACTTTCAAGCCTGCAAGTAAAAGAATGTTTATTATTGGAAACAGTTGTCTGTGTCACCTGCTGGGAAGAAGTATTCTAAATGGGAGAACAAAGTGTATTGTGGTGTATTGAGGGGCGGACTGACAACTCATGGGGCCCCCGGGCAACAGGGGATCATGAGGCCCCTATGTCCTTGCCCAAACTCAAAAAAGCCTATGAAAAAGGTACCAGGGGCATCTCATGGGGCCCCCTACTGACCCCGGGCCCTTGGGCAGTGCCCAAGTTTCTAAATGGTCAGTCCGCCCCTGGGTGTATTACTAGAATATTTACAATGGCAATTAAGCTATTTAGCCCACTGGGTAAGACACACTGAACTTTCACAGAGCTACACTTTCAACATTCTGGGTTGGGACACATATAATATAAGAAACAGCCAGACGATTTAAAGCAGGTGACTGTGGCGGGTGATGGTAGCCCTTATGGTGGAGGTGGATCGGTGTGCTTTATGTCCCTAAAATTTTCATCTTGTAGTGCAGGGTTAGCCTGAGAACCTGGCCTGAGGGTCATGAGAAGAAGCTTTGCATAAAAGTGAAAGTTATGGCATCAAGGCGAGACCTGGTGGGTCTAGAGTTTCATGAGCAAGAGGCCAAGATGTCAGTGTTCCAGGACTTGTGGATGAGGTTACTGTTTAGGAAGTACTGTGGTGTGGAGTGCTACTTAATATTGCTTGTGAATGTTTTGGTTCCCAAGTTGCTGCCTGCTCAATTGATTCAGAGGGCTGTAACTTTGGGGCTATCCGCAGGAAAACCCATTTCCACCATCAGGAGCTCTGGATAAGATCAGGCAGCTTGTGAGACTCTGATTCTCAGTCCTCTTAGGAACTCTCACATCTGAAAAACAAGCGGGAACATCCTCCTACTTGTGCCAATAGGTGTCATGCCTCCCTACTCCTGCTGTCACTCCAAGACTCCTTGAAGCTCCCTGTTTTCTCTCTGTGGCCCTCACCGCTGACTAGCCCCAGCTGCTTCTTCCAAATCTTAGTCAGCTAGTCTTCCCTTTAGTGGTAATGAGCCTGTGACATGTGCTACCCATAGAGTGCAAAGAAACAAGTTCGATTTAATGGATTCCCCACCTGCAGCACCTACTCACCTTCCTTTTGCTTCAACACCACTCCACTTTTCTTCTTCTTCACAGCACTGGTGTTTGGCTGCTCAGACACCAAGTACTGTCACATGGGTCAAGAAGAGAGTACTCTTCCCTTAAAGTGTTAATAAACTCACAACAGTAAAATAAGTCTGTATCTGCTTGTTATACTTCCTCTGATGTCATTGCGCTGTCCGCCATCTTGGAAGCTGTATATGAATGCTGATATTCCTTTATGTTTGTAAGTAGGATTTTATTTGCGTAATAAAGGCACGTTAGTTTTACTGCACTATGAGAGACATGTTTTATTTTACATGACATTGTCCTGTACCGCTATGGGAATGGCTTACTGACCTAAGTGGAATCTGAATCCTGGTTATACCATAATGTTCCCAACCAATAGTCCTTGGTAGTGTGGCTCTCCAACATTGCTTCTATAATAAAAAAAAGTTTACCACTATTACAACTTCCTATTTTCTTGGATTTTCTTTTCACTCTCTTGCCTTTTATCTAGCAGGACCCTGCAGGCTATACTATACTAATTACACATTTATGGTTCATATGTACATGCATTTTCTTATTTTATTATCCTATTTTTTTTGCAGCCAATCCTTATATCTTCATTTTAGATTGTTGTATGCTTAGCTTACTATGCACTATTCTTATACTTTTCTTAGTGCTGGTTCACACTGCAAAAATGTACTCTGGATGCATTCCAGACATGTTTATGGATGCAGTTCACACCACAAACACACACTCCACATGCATTTCGGCATGTGCATTTTGTATGTGTTTGTGAAATGTTTTTGTTGTGTTCTGGTGCATTTTTTCCGTCCTTCTTTTATTTCCAAAAGTTATCTGGGCTTTGGTTGCAACGAACCGGCAGAAATGCAGATGCAGAAAAAAAATACACAATGGACTGCAGATTCCTCAGGAAATGTCCTTTGAGGAACAAGGTGCTGCAAAGTCTGTTTGATTTATAGCACGTTATGTCAATTAGCCATGGTACAATTCAGCAATTTAATTCAGAGTCCTTCAAAGAGATTTAAAGCCCAACTCTAGGAATCTTATATCTTGCAGTGGGGCTGCGACTACACTGCCAGGGTTAGTTGCTTGTATAATTGATGGGATAGTAAAAGTACTTTTACTTACCTGATCCTCTGCTCCCATATCATTCTGCACTCCCCCATGCTCTGGTGGTGGACTGTCCCTCGGCATCATCACATCCAATTTCAATGGATCCTGCACTGGTCTTGATGATTCCAGGACCTTAGACTGATGGAGCATAGGGGAGATGATGCTTCCAGGACTGGTCCAGCAGAAGATCAGGTAAGTTAATCTACCCTAGACCTAAACAAGCAATCAATCCTTGTAGTGTGGGCACAGCCCCCCTACATGGAATAATTTTCAAGTTTGCCAGGGTTGGGCTTTGAAAGTGCCATGGAGGGAAATCACAAAATTTCTTAAAGAAGTCTTTATAGTCATTTAAGGCCTAGTTCACAGTGGCATTGAAAGCAGGCATTTGAGGGGCGTTTTTAACGCTCCTTAAATGCCTATGCAAATGATACTATGGACAGCACACAGTGCTGTTCACATTATCAAAACATGAAGTATTAGTATTGTGTTGCTTCAAAATTGAAGCCTCATGTCGAGTCAGAAGGGGTTTGAAGCATTTCAGCGCCTCCCATTCAAGTCTATGGTGACCCTCCTCAAACGCACTGGCAGGCATTTGCAGGACATTTGCCGTGCGGTTGCGGTGCATTATTAACATTACAGTTTATTTAGTTTGTGGTGTGGTTTTTAATGCTTTTCAAATGTTTATAGAATGCTTTAAAACTGTTCATAGGGCGTTTGGGGAGTATTTTTAATGCTTGTAAAAAGCCAGTCTAACGCCCATGGTAAAGCTCATTAACCGCTTTTGAGCCACCCTATAGCAGAAATACTGCTACAGGGAGGCAGGGGTGTGCAAAATCATGTATATACACATAATTTCGCATTTCTGGGTAGGGGGTACGCACCCTACCCATGCTGCCATTCCCGGCCTCGGCTATCAACCATCGGGTCCCGGCCGGTGATTACTTGCAGGCACCTGATGATCGCCGAGTATTACCAATGGGTGAGAGAAAGGGGTGGACTGACCATTTGGAAGCTTGAGCACTGCCCGAGGGCCGGGGTCAGTAGGGGGCCCCATGAGATGCCCCTGGTACCTTTTTCATAGGCTCTTTTGAGTTTGGGCAGGACACAGGGGCCCCATGATCCCCTATTGCCCGGGGGCCCCATGAGTTGTCAGTCCCCCCTGGTGAGAGAACTATATGTAAACAATACAGTCCCCTCCCCTGTCAGCTCCTGCACTCTGCTTTGTATGGCTCTGCATAGCAAAGCCATACAACTCAGTGTGCTTGCAGTGGAAAGCACGGACACAGCACCATAGTAAAACACACATAGCACACAGTTAACCCTTTGATCGCCCCAGATGTTAACCGCTTCCTGCCCAGTGCCATTAGTACAGTCTCAGTGCTTTTTATTAGCATTGATCACTGTATTGGTGTCACTGGGGATGTCAGTGACACCAAGTCAGTTCTCCCCAAAGTCTCGCTATAAGTTGCTGATCAGCGCCATTACTAGTAAAAATAGAAATTCCAGTATCTATACCGCCATTTGTAAAAACTACAACTTTCACGTAAACCAATTAATGTACACGTATTGGGATTTTGTTTAGCAAAGACAAGTAGCAAGTAGCCCTAAATTTATGACGAAATTTGATTTTTAACATTTTTTATTGGGCATGTTTAATAGGAAAAGTCAAAAATATTGTTTTTTTTCTCAAAATTGTCGGTCTTTTTTTATTTTTAGCGCAAAAACTAAAACACGTACAGGTGATCAAATACCACCAAAAGAAAGCACTACTTGTTGGAAAAAAAATGACATAAATTTAATTTGGGTGAAGTGTTGCATTACTGCACAATTGTCAGTTAAAATAAAGCAGCGCAGTAAAAAAAAAAAAATGGCCTGGTCATGAACGGGTGTAAATCCTCTGGAGGGCAAGTGGTTAATGCCTGTCTAACACCCATTAATGCCTGTCTAACACCCATACTAAAGCTCATTAATGCCTGTCTAATGCCTATACTAAAGCTATAGGAGCGTTTGGTAAGAGTTAGAAATGTAGTCAAGTGTGAACAAGCCCTTAGTTCTTGCTGTTCAATAGTGTTTTGGTTTACATTAATGTATTATACCAATATTGAAAATTGTGCTAAAAGTCGTGTTTTGTCTACATTCTGTGTTTTACAGAGATATAAACACTTGACAATTCAAAACTCCACTCCAGCTAAATTTTTAATTAATTAAGGATAGAGTGGGGAAACGTTAATGCCTCTATCGGGCTTTTATTCCATCTATGTTCCTTTTGGGGAAATTTTCTGTTGCTGCCTATCAGGGCAGAAAGTGATCTGAAATCACTTGAACAGGTACATTGACAAAAACAGATCTGCAACATGGTGAGGAAGGGTTACTTCGGTCAGTACTTTTATTACTACCTGTGCCTTACTATGCAGTGACAACGGCATCCCGCCTTTTATGAACATCACAGAGGAATGAAGTGAGGAATAATCTTCCCATTGGGGTTACAGAAAAAATTAAAAAAAAAATGAAAGAAATGTGACATCTTTCCTATTCTATCCAAAACAAAAAAGGATATGTTTGGCTATAGTCAGGCTTTAATTGCATGTATAGGGAAATTGTTGTTTTGCTGTTATGTCATTGTAAAGATACTGTTCATTTGTTGTAAGTTACTTTATTATAGCATAAGCAAAGTAACTAGTGTGACTAAAAGGCTTATTCCTACAAGGTGAACGAGTCTGGCTTGAAGCATGTAATCTACCCCAAACTGTCCAGCATTAGCCCCTAGCGATTTCTTTCCACACAGTTACTTCGGAATGAATCGTGCTATGCCTTTGAAGAAAGATAACAAAAATGTGCTTTCAATTTGCTAAAAGCTGTTTCCCATTTTCATACAATCCCAGCCTGCCTAGGGTGTTTGAAATAATATGAAATAAGATAAGACATTATAATTTTAGGCTTGAACTTGTCTGCAGTCACCTAAGACTTCATCCATCTAAAAAAATATACAGCTGAGGGGTAAAAGGTTACACATCACATAAGAAACTAGTTTTGAAATAGAATGGACATGTCATAAGCGAGTGCAGTCATTTCTGGCAGAAAAAAATGCCAGAGGTTTATAAAAGGATCACAATTGTCTATATGATTTTCTTAATTTCTCTGCCTATGATTATGAATATTGCTAACTGTTATAAACTATGGTCTCTTTACATTATAGAATGGCAATTGCAGCTATATTGCAACAACATAGTTGCTTGTTATCTGTAATACTTTTTTTATTTGCATTAGTGATGATATTTTCAGGACAAGCATTTGGGGGTGTACCTTACATAGTTGGTAAGGTTGAATAAAGACACAAGTCTATCCAAATCAACCTGTGTGGGTGCATGTGGGTGTATGTATTATGTCTTTACCACTTCCCATATCCCTGTATATTGTGTTCAATAAGATGCCCATGTAAAAGTGTTTTAAATTAGCAACATTTCCTACTGCAACCACCAATTGTGGAAGGATGTCCCACATCCTCCAACATTTTTACTTAACAGTAAAAAAAAAACCATTACGCAGTTTAAGGTTGATCCACTTCTTGTCCAATTTCATTGAGTGACCATGTGTCTTCTTGAGTGACCTGAGACTAAATACTTTACTTCCAATGCTGGAATCACCATCAAGATATTTTTATATCATTATCATATCCCCTCTTACGTGTCTCTTCTCCAGTAAGAATAAGTTTAATGTTTGTAATTGTTCCTCATAACTGAGATCCTCCAGCCCTCTTATTAGTTTTGTTACTCCACTCTAGCACATCCCTTCTAAGGACTGGAGACCAGATTTGGACAGCATACTTAAGATGTGGCCTAACCAATGTTTTGTAAAGTGGTGGAATTATACTTTTATCTCTTGAGCGAATAATTTTTGCTTGCTGCTGCTTGGCATTGCATGCTGTTGCCGAGTCTGTCATCAACTAGGACCCCAGATCCTATTCCATTCACGAATCCCCCAGAGGTTCTCCCCCTAGCGTGTGGCTTACATTCATATTTTTAGCCCTTCAAGTGAATTACTTTACATTTCCCTACATTGAACCTCATCTGCCATGTGTTTGCCCCCCCCCCCCCATTTTATCAAGGTCTTCCTGTAGAGTTTCTATACCCTGCTGTAAACTTATTGTTCTTATTAGCTTTGTATCACTAACAAACACTGATATTGGACTACTTATCCCAACCTCTATATCATGTGTGAACATTGTAAATAGGATTGGTCCCATGGCAGAGCTCTGGGGTGCCCCACTTATAACTGCAGACCTTTCAGAAGATACACTATTTATCACTACCCTCTGGATGCGTCCCTGTAACCAGTTACCTATCCAGTTACAAAAGCTATTGTCAATGCCAACAGACCACAATGTGTGTATTAAGCATTCAAGGGGGTACCGTATCAAATGCTTTGGTGAATTTTACAAACACTACATCCACAAGTCTTTCTTTATTCAGATTACAGCTCACTTCTTCATAGAATGTTAATAGGTTGGCCTGGAAAGAACAATCTTTCATAAATCCATGCTGGTTACTAGTAGTGATATTATTCTTATCTGTAAATTCCTGGATATGATCCCTTAACACTCCATCCAATAGTTTTAAAACTATTGATGTTAGGCTGACTGACCTGTAGTTTCCAGGTATGTATCCTGGCCCATTCTTGAATATTGGTACCACATTAGCTTTACACCAGCCTGCTAGTACTATTCCAGTCAGTAACCTTTCCTGAAAGATTAGGAATAATGGTCTAACAATGACCTGGCTAAGTTCTTTGAGGACTGTTGGGTGCAAGTCATCTGGTCCTGGTGATTTGTTCATGTAGCACTATGTTTACACTCTTTGGGGCTACTGGGGTATGATGGTGCCACCTGTATAGTATTTAGGAGCAGAGTCTTTATAATCTGTGTGATCAGGACAAGATCTCTAACAAGTGCTAGTGCCTCAATTCAATTGGGGCTTGTGGATAACAAGTGAAATCCCAACTGAGACATGTATCATCCACATAGACAGTAATCCACACAGCATTGTATGTGAAAGTCCATGTATTAAAGAAATAACATTCAGTGAACTATTCAACATAAAATATCTTCCAAACAGGAACATTAAAGCATTAACAGTCTTTTTTTTTTTTTTTGCATGTCTCAGTGAGGGGAGGCTGCAACACTTATAGTCTGAGCTCTCTCTCCCAGGAAATCCACACTTCTCTCTTTTCCACAAGTGCCCTCTCTGATGACCTCATCCTCAGTGCCCAGAGGTATATAAACTGGAAAATGGGCAAAGAAATTACCACATCACTACATTCACATTACGTTTATCTAGTCTTTTTAGAACACTGACTTCTGTTAGCAACAAGGGCACACTCCTTGCTGTGTTGCTAACAATATTGTCTTGTTTATTATACCTCTGCTTTTCCATAGTAAAAACTGAGGAGAAGAATGTATTTAATACAGTTGCCTTCTCCTTGTCACTTGTAACCAAGTTTCTTCAATCACCTTTTATGGTACCAATATGCTCTGACTTTGCTTTTTTGTACTATTAATGTATTTTTATAAATGTGTTCTTTCTCTGGAAGTTCCAGGTAAATGCTTGGGCTTGGTGGATGATTTCAATAAAGGTAAGGGCAAGCACCCCTTCATGTCTGGGGTCACTGAAGATGGTGTACACACACCACATTTAGCATTATCAGTAACGCAAAGGTTAGCTCGACTCTAACTCTATGACTTATTGACAGTTCAACAGTCTCAGAAGTAGAAATTCACACATGTGCTCTTTTCTAGTCCTCTGCACAAATGTTGATTAATGTTCCGACAGCATGATGCATAGTGAATTAGAACTTTAAAGGATAACTTCACTTTTCATAACATGTTACATATTACCCCCATATTCAAAGTGCAACATGTAACCTGTTATGAATAATCAGCTGACCTACGTTCAAAGGTCCTTGTAGTGAATTTTGGTTAACCAAAATTTAGGCCACTCAATACCCACTTTAGTTTGCTCTGACTGAATCTTAACCAGACTGGGTGAGCCTCAAACCCTTTGTTGACCCAATCTTGTAGTGCACCCCTTGTTACTATAAGCAATATCTTCATTTTTGTTCTCATTTTCCTTTCTTCAGATATTTATATAAATAGACCTTTAGGAATGTAATATTCAT